ATCGCACAAAAACGACTGAAATTAATGAACTGTACCATTGGGTCTTATTCATTCAGTATTCATGTCATCGTTCACCTTTTTTGTTAATCAAAACCTAATCACCCGTTTTATTAAAATAGTTGAAGAATGAGAGTGTAATATGAAGAATTCCTTTTTCAGGTGATCGTTGAAGGATTCTATGACTCACAATTATTAGTCGAAATTGTAGGTGCATAAAATGAATAAAAAGATAACAAGAGTTATCTTCTACCATTCACTATGTTAGCTTTTAAGCGTGAATGTGTTATAAGCCCTTATTTCTGTGTATCTCACATAAATGGATAAAGGAATTGGAAGGACGAGGATTGGAAGAATTTTATTGATTTACCACAGGATAGCCTGTGAAAAAATATATCGCTGTGTTTCATCTCACACGCTCCAAAATAATTGAACCAGTTGCGCGTAAAAACTATTCATACACCTCGTTACTATTAATCAGTTCTTAGTTTTTCGACATTTATTTGGATATGAGCAATAGCTGAATAATACTGTTGGGAAATAGTGCTTCATTAACTGTAAAATGTCTTATTAAGTACATGAACTAGATACTTCTGTGAGAGGTTACTGATATAGATAAATGAAACATCGATCAGGATGGTTCATGAGCTCTGCGATGTTTAATCTACATTACTGCCTGGTACTGCCATCTTTCAGAAAGAGAAAGTTAGATGAATACAATATTGATGGGAATAATATATCTTCAACGCAATTTGCAGTGAACTTAACATTTCATCTTTCATTTACATATTGAGAAATATTTGAATGACACATTGTTTAGCGTGGCTCCATTGTGATGTGATCTATCATTGGACTATAGCAGACTAGATCATATCAGTCGATGCGATCAGAATAAACGAATATAAGCTTGCTGGACTTCATTCGAATGCCATGTACTCATAGATAATTCAACTCTGCTGCAACTTTGGAAGCAAGCTGACGGCGAAAGTACACACCATGATTACGATAGTTTTATTCACTTACATCATCAAATATTCATTGTTTGAGAAGATTCAAAAGAACACTTCTTAAGGCTTGTTATAGTAGAACGCTGTACGTGTTATTTGTATTCATTATCCATAAGATATTTAATCAGCTGTCTGAATTTCTATCAATGATTGAAAGAAAGTTGGAATAAGTAAACCGAGCTATTTTACAAAACGTTATCGTTATTCCTTTTTCATGAGATCGACGATCAATGTCCATAAATAAACATGAGTCGATTCTGCATCAGTGGAATTCGTGAAAATATTCATTCCAGTGGTTCCTTTGGCATGTGATGATGTTTTTTTCTGATCTTTCAGAGGCGTGTTTTCTGAAGTGAAATAGGCAAACATATCAATTCTCTTAGATATTCATGTGGTACGTGACGTAGAATCATCACGCAAAGAAAGAAGAACTGTAAAAGGTTTTTGTCACATTGATGAAGAGATGATTGGTTCCGATAGTTCGTTTACGATAGAATCTCCATGCTAATGATGAATACCCGAGCATTTGTTTAGAATTTCGGAAAAATAATTGATCACAATCTTGCAACATGTTATTAAACATCTACATCCAACCGATCTTCCATCAGCTAACCCAGTCGCAACCTTTGCTTCGAAGTGACCAAAACAGGTGAACGGAAGTATCTTCACGAAAGTTTCTTTGAAATGTGATGTTCGATGAGCTGACCGCCTCGAAACGTTTGCTTCCAAGTGAGCCAAAGAGGTCAACAGAACTCTGGTAGGCAATCTTCCTTTCCCATGTGATCTGCGATCAGTTGACCCAGTCGCGACGTTTTCCACGAAGTGAACGAAAGACGTGAACACAATTCTTTTCAGGAATGTTCCTTTGCCTTCTGATCTTCCATCAGCTGACCGAGTCGCAACGTTTCCTTCGAAGTGAGCAAAAGAAGTGAACAGAAGTATCTTCACGAAAGTTTCTTTGAAATGTGATGTTCGATGAGCTGACCGCCTCGAAACGTTTGCTTCGAAGTAAACAAAACAAGCGAACAGAAGTATCGTAAAGAATATCCCTTTGCAATGTGATCTTCGATCAGCTCACCCAGTCGAAACGTTTTCTTCGAAGTGAGCAAAAGAGCTGAACAGAACTATCGTAAGGGATGTTCCTTTTCATGTGATCTTCCATGAATTGACCCAGTCGCAACGATTCCTCTGAAGTGAGTAAAACAGGCAAACACAAGTGTGGTAGGGAATGTTCCTTTGCCACGTGATCTTCGATCAGCTGACCGAGTCGTACGGTTTCCTTTGAAATGAG